GCGCATTCTTGCTGTTCTTCATATGCACCGTCTAATTTAGCTGTACGCATGGCCGCCAAGAATTCCGGCTTTCCGTATGATAAGCTAACGCCACAAGAAATGGCCATATTTCCGGAATTGGACAGCAATGAAGCAAGCCAAGATTTGTACCTTTTCCTCCGATGCAAATTGGTACTTTCTAATTTTATGCATTTTTGCATATGTGCAAATTCGAAAAAACTATATTGACAGGAGGCTTTCTGTGTGTGTATTTGTGTTCGCACTTTTTTTCACCCATTTTCAACTTAAGAACCAAAGTTTTCTAGGAGGCTGAAACTTCAGGAGCCTACAACACGTGTGATTCCCCGTTTTAATATCATCATCTGGTACGCCCGGGTGCCGCGTGCGGACGCTTTAAAGAAATATGCAAATTTTCTGGCGGGGAAGCAGCCGCGGGAACTAGAAAGGATAGAGAGCTGAAATTTTGCAAGGATATTCTATGAATATGTGTGAGCTAAGGATTTCAAATTCAGTCCCTAGGTTTGCGTGATTCTGACGTATAGGCACGTGAAAGTTTTGTTGGGAAAATTATTGAATCAAAGGAAAGATAGAAGGCTGAAATTTTGAAGGCATATTCTCTGTCCACGTAAAATTAAAAATTCCAGTTTTAGCCCCCTCAGTAAACGTGGTTCTCACGTCCACGGGCGTGTGAATTTTTAGCGGTAAAATTACTAATTCAGGAACTAGAAAAACTAAAAAACAGAAATTTCAAGGTACTGTTCGCTGTCCAAGTACAACTTAAATATTTAAAACTCAGCCTCCAGGTATGCGCGGTTTTCACGTACGGGCACCTAAGACTTTTGGCGGAAGAACTGCTTAATGAACAACTAGGTCATTTTCAGTGAACGACCGTTAAACGAAATTGTTCGTTTCCTTTATGCAAAATTTACGATGATTTACGTTACTGAGCGCAAAAGGTTTATGTAAAGCAACAACCATTCATGAGTTAACGACCTGAGTACTTCAAATCTGGTGCAAAAATGCATTGTCGCACCGGCAAGCCTAGTGGATTCCAGTCTGGGTTTATGGATATTATAACTGAAACCTACCAAACCGTTGAGCTACTAATCCGTTTAGAGGAGGAAACGAACACAAAGGCCCCTTGTAGGCTGACTGTCGGGGCAGGCAGTACTGGTTAAAGCAAGTCGAAAAGTTGCCAGCTGAAGTAATCTGCAGTGATCTGTGGCTGAAACAGCGTTGAATAAAAACAGTAATGTGAAATTCAGGGAGTAAAAATTCTAGCAAATTTTTATTTTTTCCGAGCAATTTCAAGACACTTTTATTGACAGGCATGACATAGTGGGATAGCATTGTTGTCGTGCATTAGGGTGAAGGTTTGACTCTGCCAATGACACAACCATTTCTTATACGATTAGTTTGGGTGGTAGATTGGTACTGGCATATGCCGAGGAGTCAGACTCGCCATCAACTTGCTTGTAAGCAGCTTTCAGAGATAACCATCCGTAGCTTTGTCGGCGGTTGATTACTGCTGGCATTTGCTACCACTTACGCTACTTCTGAGGCTTGCTTCTTCCACTGAAAGTGAAATACGGTGGGGTTTTTGATTTTTGGCTGCATTTTTAGAGCATTTTTTTTTTTTTTTTGAGATCTCTGTTGCCATTTGCTTCTATAATCTGTAATTTAACTCCTTTTTTTCTTGAACTTGAGATTATTGCATTCTCACGCTGTGACCGTTTTGATTCTGTCTGTTTTGTTTGATATTACGGCCCTGTAAGAAAGGAATGCTCCGTCTTATTCACAGAGAAGTCAAAAGACAAATTCTCGGCATATGCTAGTACCAATTTACCGCCGAAATGACTGAACGAATCATCGAGGGATTGACTGTTCCAGTAGTGATGACCAACTTTCTGCCTTTTGCAGCAAGTCAATTAGCTTTACAAAAATCGAATGAGCCGGTGTTCTAAGACTAAAGAGAAATGAAGGATCAGTGACAGACGAAAGCCATTTGATGCCGTTCGCTTACATTCTGAGTAGCACTTTTTCAGCTGGAAATGTGGCGGCGAAATATATGTGAAGAACTTCAGTTCCGCGATTTCATGAAGGAAATTCCAGCTCCGTACAATAGTAAGTTTACAGCAAGCGTCCCATTAAACTTTCTAGTGGTCACTTCTAGGGATGTGTCCATTCAGATGGGGTACTCCTTTCCTCGTTTTCGTCACTAGGCAATGCCAAATTTATGCAACTGGGATGATATGGTGCGATTAGTCAGGAAGGCGCGAAATTCAGCTGGGACGATGCAGTTTTGGTTGTGAAGGTATGAAATACAACTAGGATCTTGATATGAGTTAATTTTTTTTTGCATTTTTGCATCAACTTGCTTTTTTGCATTTTTTTTTTCAACATTTTGCAAAAATTTTGCAACTTTTGCAACAAATTTTTCTTTTGCAATTTTTTGAAACTTTTGCAACAAAACAAGAAACCAATTTCACAACATGATTTGCACCAATTAGAACTTGCAAAATATAGCCAAAAAGACATTAAACCAGAACTGAAGTGAAAATCGAGCAAATATCCACAAATTACCTGG